CAAAATTTTAGTGTAGCTCAGGCCTCATGTGGAATAGGTGGGGGCGGGGAGATGTGGGGTTGAATATAGCAGCCCAGGGGGATCCTAGTTGCAAAAATACATTTTCTTTAGTAAACTAAAAAACAAATGGCATATGTTGAAATTCACGTGTACATATTTAACTCATTCCTTAATAACCATGGACTTCAGAGGAATAGAAGATTCCTCCATGGTTTCAGTGTATATTATTTAAGCATACAAATATACTATTAAACTAACTTGAATGCATAGCCTTACATTAGAGTATTAGTCAAATGGACTATTGAGTTTCTCACAGCAAGTTTCCAGAAGGTCTCAATTGTTTTAAGTAACAAGTACAATAAACCATATAATAAAGGATGAGTTTAATCATTGAAAGCTAACTCACTTTTTTATATTAAAAATTAGGGGAAATATTCATGACTTTACATGCTTCCTAGATAAAATGGAATTTTTGACTTTGTATCTTTTATAATAGTCCTCAAATTCTTTGGATTTAAAATTCTCAGGAATATCTGCCAGAACTAGTAAAGTGGGTAAATTTGAAATTTTTGTTTTAACACCTTCAGTTTCACTCAGGAGGTGAATATTCTGCTACACAGGCATAGTAGCATTTTGGGATTTTTTTTTAAAGTTTGTTAAAACATCTCAAATTTTGGTGAGGTGCGATGGCTCACACGTGTAATTTCAACAATTTGGGAGGCCAAGGTGGGAGGATGGCTTGAGTTCAGGAGTTTGAGACCAGCCTGGGTAACCTTGTCTCCACAAATATAAAAAATTAGCTGGGCATGGTGACACTAGTCCCAGCTACTCGCTTGGGAGGCTAAGGCAGGAGGATTGCTTGAGCCTGGGAGGTTGAAGTTGCAGTCAGCAGTGTTTGGTGCCACTGCACTGCAGCCTAGGCAACAAAATGAGACCTAGTCTCAAAATAAAGTAAAATAAACACCTGATGTTTCTTAGTTCTCTGAGGGAAAAAATGTCTACAGACCATGCAACCCTAAATTTTTGTTGTAGGTAATTTTTAATGCTAATGTCCACGCTGTTTCTTATCTCTTGGCCTGCCAGTTATGGTGGCTTAAAATGAATTCTACCTTTCTGATTTGTTCAGAAGTTCTGGTCTGTGTTTTGTTTCATAGGTTTGTAGTGTTGGGAGATACCAGAGAGTTTATCACAACTGTTTTCCAGTGTCACACAGGGCGACTATATTTGCTACACAATGTGGCAAGGTTAAAGAGAGCACAGAGGCATGGTAATAAAAGGTCACAAAACTAATTTGATGATTATTATGTATATAATCACAAAGAGTAGTTAAAGTAAGCTAAAGTAGATTTTTTTTTTTTTTTTTTTTTTTGTCTTTTGGAGACAGAGTCTCAGTGTGTTCCCCAGGCTAGAGTGTAGTTGTGTGATCCTGGCTCACTGCCACCTCTGCCTCCCAGGTTCAAGCAATTCTCCTTGCCTCAACCCACAGAGTAGCTGGGATTACAGGTATGTGCCACCATGCCTGGATACTTTTTGTGCTTTTGGTAGAGAAGCCACCGTGTTGCCCAGGCTGGTCTCGAACTCCTGGCCTCAAGAGATCCTGGAATTACAGGCATGAGCTATAGCACCTGGTCAGATTCTTTTAATTAGAGACGGAGTCTCACTTTGTCACCCAGGCTGGAGTGCAGTGGCACGATCTTGGCTCATCGCAACCTCCGCCTCCCCGGTTCTTGCAATTGTCCTACCTCAGCCTCCTGAGTAGCTGGGACTACAGGTGCACGCAGCCACACCTGGCTAATTTTTTGTATTTTGGTAGAGATGGGGTTTCACCGTGTTGCCCAGGCTGGTCTCGAACTACTGAGCTCAGGCAATCCGCCCACCTCAGCCTTCCAAAGTGCTGGGATTACAGGCGAGAGCCACCGTGCCTGGCCATTAAAATGTTTTCCTAAAAATTTATGGAAAGTAGGTTAGGTGCGGTGGCTCACGCCTGTAATCCGAGCACTTTGAGAGACTGAGACCGGTGGATTGCCGGAGGTCAGGAGTGAGACCAGCCTGGCCAACATGGCAAAACCCTTTATTACTAAAAATATAAAATTTGCTGGGCATGGTGGCATGTGTTTGTAATCCCAGCTACTTGGGAGGCTGAGGCAGGAGAATCGCTTGAACTTGGGAGGTGGAGGTTGCAGTGAGCCACGATCATTCCATCGTACACCAGACTGGGCAACAGGAGTGAAACTCCATCTCAAAAACAAAAATAAATAAATAAATAAAAACAAAGCCTTCGTAAACTATCATATGGCAATGGCTGTCTTGAGTCAGTTAACTGGGTATTTGTTTTCTCATTAAATAAATAAGAAATTTGTTAAATTATTTTATTTGTCAATATTTCCTAGTATTTTATTTCACCCATGCCACCCTAAAATTTGAGTTTAATTCCCTTGACTGAAATGGGGCTCTCTGAAGTTCTTGAAATTATCTTGCTGGCACAATCCCAGATCTCTTGGTCTTCAGACATGTGACTCTAGTCTTAGGAGCTCCAGGGTCTCTGTGCCTCTTTATGTAACTCAGCTCACACATTCACAGGGGTCTTTCTTGAGCAGATGATGCTCAAGAAATGCTGATGACTTTCAGCCCTGGTCCTTGTCCTCTGTCCTTTTTCTTTGCTACCCCTCCTTTGTGGTATTCACGAATAAAGTTCACTACCTTCTTAATTAAAGTAACTAAACTTTCTTCACTGCCTTGTCCCTCCCAGTGCCTTACTATCTTGCTTTGCAGGATGGTGCTGCTCAGATATTTTACTGGTGACCAAAAGAAAACATCCCTGAAATGAAACCTTATCTCCCTTGAGAACCTATTCTTAACCACTATCATTGTTTATTGAGTGACTTTGCAAAGGGTATTTAATAACTTGCTGAGTAGAGGTAGAATTTTGAAAGAACCAACACAAACTTGTCAAACTGTTAATGAACCAGCCTCAAAAGATTGCAGTGGACATTGTAGGTGATAAAACCTAGGGATAGTGAAGGAAAGATAGTTCCCCTATGGAGCTTGTTCCAAGCTATATCCTTTCATCAAATGGAAAGAACACAAGATGAGGGTCAGGAGAAATCAGATTTACTTTGTTGAAGCTCTGGTTGGACCACTGACCTTGTAAAGCTCTCTGAATCTTAGTTTCCTGTTTGTCAAGGATTTTACTTCCTAACTTTTGTGGTTAACATGAAAATGCCACAAAGTACTAAGCCATATAAATAGAAGGTAATTATACTACAATGATCATGTTGGGAATTTGTGGTTGCTATAATCACAATGAGAACATACATACCACAGTTGCAGTTAAGTGTTTATTTGCTTGTTCACTTGTTTATTGCCTTTCTGTCTCCTAAATTGTACATTCCATTAGGGTAATAACCATATTTGTTTTATTAATCATTGTAATCCTCTTATATATTAGTTTCTGATTCTGGGAGGCACTCTAAATATTATGTGGATGGATGGATGGAATATGGTTAATAGCTTCAAGAATACTGGCTTTGTGAAGTCCAAAGGCTATCAGAAAATCCATGTGCCATGGCTTATGAACATTTGTTGAGAAATGCTGAGTGTATGATAAAATTATATTGTTTGCTAAATTCGTTAAGCACGGGATATGTGACCGTGCCCCCGTGGCTCCCTTGGGGAGAATACTTTCTGGTTTGTCCTTGATCAGTGGTAAGCAGGCACCAGCTGCCTACCTAGTTCTATGAGAAAACACAGAACACCTGCTGTTAATAATAATCACCTGTTCAGAGAGAATACATGTTTCAGAGTCTTCTTGAGGCCCTCAGCCTCGTCGAGAATGCTGGCAGTCCCCTGAGGTTCTCAGTTCGGAAGACTGTTGGCCCCGAGATAGTCCAACTTTGCTGTTATATCTGGGTATCTGCTTCTTAATGCCTTCAGCGCCACCTGGGTGGGGGTCTCTACCGCCTAGCTGGTCTTGGTAAACATTAATATTTATAGAATTTACCAAAGCTTCACTTCAATTCTAAGTTCATTTAGAAATAGTTTTGTTTGTTTATTTTAGAGACAGGGTCTTTACTCTGTGGTTCAGGCTGGAGTGCAGTGATGAGACCATCTGCAGGAATTTGAGGCTGCAGATGAGACCATGGCTCACTGCAGCCTCGAATTCCTGGACTCAAGGAATTATCCTGCCTCAGCCCCTGAGTAGCTGGGACTACAAGTGCATGCCACCACACCTGGCTAATTTTACTTTTTTATAGAGATGTGGTCTTGCTGGGTTGCCCAGGCTGTTCTCAAACTCCTAGCCTCAAGTGATCCTCCCTCCTCAGCCTCCCAAAGTTCTGGGATTATAGGCATGGGCCACTATGCCCAGCCTATTTTAGAGACAGTTTTAACAAATCTGGATATCTCCTGTTTCAAGTTATGTACAACTGGAGACTGATAATCAGAAGTCTTTAGGGAGGAACCCAAAGGAGGCACCGTTAGCTGCAGGCAGTGACAGCCAAACAACCTGAAAGCGAATTAGAATGTAGAACAACTGCTGAAAGTAAAAAGTATGGCAGTCTGGAACCACTTAATACAAATTAAATGCGCTGATGTGTTCATAACAATTCTGTGAACTGTGTCATATCACACACATACATGTGTTAGAAGGGAGAAGAAGCCTACCTGCTCTGAGTCCTGCTGCCATTGTAGTGAAATTGTGTAGTGATGGAGGCTCATGAGGAAATCTCTGAGCCATCAGGAAAATTAAATTACGTTCACTTTCCTTATCAAGCTAGGGAAGTATGTAGGTCACTTTAGATTTAGATTTAGCAATAGTTATCTCAAAATATATAAAATTGAAATCTCTTATTTCTGATACTACTAGATAATGAGATATTATTTTATTCACTAAACCAATGACCTTTAAAGGTATATCCAAATCAACCAAAATCTAAAAGTTAGGAAGTCACACTTTCTATATATTAAAACACCCTCAAGGTCTGCATAGGTAGATGCTGAATAAATTAGAACAACAGTACTATAGTGAAATAATGGGCCATGGTACTTAGTCGAGCTGGTCAGCTCCTTTATTGGCCTAAATTAATAAGATTTTATTTTTACCCCAACACTATATTCCCTTGGTATCTGAGTTATACCTTAAATAATAAATCAAGTATTTAAGATGTTAATATATTTTGGTGATGCTAGGTGCTTTGGTTTCCATTGTCATAGGGAGAATGGGGTTTTATTTTATTATTTTATTTTTTTAGTCTGCTATTCACAAGTGGCAAATTTTGAGAGCTTAAAGTTGATTTTAAATTTCATTTGGGCTGGTCATGGTGCCTCACTCCTGTAATCCCGATGCTTTGGGAGGTCAAAGCAAGAGGGTGGCTTGAGCTCTGGAATTCGAGACCAGACTGGGCAATATAAAGACTACAAAAACATTTTAAAATTAGCTGGGCGTGGTGGTGCACACCTGTGGTCCCAGCTACTTGGGGGGCTGAGGTGGGAGGATCAGTCAAGCCCAGGAGATTGGGACTACAGTGAGCCATGATCATACCACTGTACTCCAGACTGGGTGACAGAGCAAGACCCTGTCTTTAAAAAAAACTTCATTTGATTTCAAAAAATATTTATTGACCACCCACTTTGAACTAGGTGGTACTGGAGACAGACAATGAGTGAGACAATATCCCCTCTCTCAGGGAGCAAATAGTTTTGCTATTTTCAAATGGAGAAAAAAGCCCTGTCTGGGCTGGGCACGGTGGCTCACGCCTGTAATCCCAGCACTTTGGGAGGCCGAGGTGGGTGGGATCATCTGAGGTCAGGAGTTCAAGACCAGCCTGACCAACATGGAGAAACCCCATCTCTACTGAAAATATGAAGTTAGCTGGGTGTGGTGGCACATGCTTGTAATCTCAGCTACTTGGGAGGCTGAAGCTGGAGAATCGCTTGAACCTGGGAGGTGGAGGTTGCGGTGAGGCAAGATCGTGCCGTTGCACTCCAGCCTGGGTAACAAACTCGGTTTCAAAAAAACAGAAAAACCAAACCCTGTCTGAATCATTAGAATTTTAAAGTCTAATGATGTTTGGAGAGGCAGAAGAAAATGATGGCAGCTACTATTAGTTATACTGAACAAAGAGTAATTTTTAAATATTCAAAATTTATAGGCTAAAATAATTTAAACTGTATATCACATTAATTGTTAAACATGTTGGAGAAGTAACATTGATCTTTTCGAAAATATTTCAGTTCTATTTGCTGGTGGATTTTTTTTCCCTGATTGTTTTCAATTACAATTACTTTTATAAAATGGAAGAAAAATTCATAGTTTTTAATTACTAAACTCTCCTAAATTAAAAAAAATAAAGAATCTATGTATAGTTCAGTGGAAAAAAACTCAGATGAAAGTAACTGCAGGAAAGAATTTTTATATATCTTTACTTTTTATACTTAATTTTTACTTTCCTTTGTTTTAAATTTTTAAAGTAGGAACATTCAAAGTAGGTGAAAGTTTTTTGAAGGTCCTTAAGAATAAGCAATTCTAAATCTTATCACAGGTTAGGTTTTGATGTCCTGGGCTTTTCTAATCCATGAACTCAACCAAGAACAGAATGGAACAAACTGTGTCTGATTAAATGATAATTTCCTAAATTAAAAAAAGTTTGGCTACATCAGATAGTAGTTGATATCCACACTACTCACTATCAGATAGAGGAACTCACACATGTGCCGTTCTGGGAAAGTTGCCAATGCTGCCGTCATCACTGGTAGCTAGAAAAAGGCATGATTAAAAGATTTGCTTGTAGCGTTGCTCATCATTAGTAATTTGTATATCCGGTGAGTAGACATAAACAGAAGCAACTCTTTCACTGGTGTTTTCATCCTCCTCCGTTCTCTCTGATCCCTTCATTACTGAGGCTCTCCTCAGAGGTGTGCCGGTCTGTTGGAGCTTCTATTTCAGCCTTTGCAGTTGTTATCATGCAGTTTTGGATGCTTGATTTAAGCATACACCATAAGCTCATCCACCCCTCCATGACCATCTAAGCTAAAACAAACAAAAGCTTACTTCTAGCCTATATCACAATCTCCAATTGTCTCCACCTAGAATGTATAATGTAAGTTAGGTGGTATAGTGTTTTTCAGTCATAAGGCAGATGGAGTGGAAAAGATGACCACAGTGAGAAGGTCAACTCAGCTGATAGTGACAAACGTCACCCTAGAGGAGAGTTTTATGAGTAATTGAAGGGGAGAAACCCACGAGAAGGAAAATGGCCTTATTAAACATGAGAATGGAGAGACTGTGGTGACTTTAGAATGGCAAAAGTACAGAATGACTTTTAAAAAAAGGCATCCTAATGAAATTGAAAGAAAAACTTATTGAGGAAATATGGGAAGAAGTTAAATGAACACACTGAAGAAGGAATCCAGCTTACACACAGCTTAGAGGATGAGGAATGAGCTAATGAACCATTCATTGCTACATGTAAAATACTGTGTGTCGCACCAGGGAACTGCTGTTAGTCACAAAAGGGAAATTATGGTACATCTTTCAGGCTCTGAGGGTCCTGCTGGAGCCCATTAGCTGTGTGCCAGGCTCCCTTGTGGGAGGCAGGAGGCAAACCTATTTAGAATATATTTTTTTGATTTGAGAAATTGGCCCTTGGGACAAGGAATCTCAGCTCCTCCTAGGCACAATGGAGATGGACAGGAAGGCCTTGCCTGGCAGTGGAGCACCTTGTGTATTTACTTCCAACGTTGCTTTCTGACACAAAAGGCAATTGGGGTACTTCTCTGAGTCCACCTAAAATCTAAGTTCTTAGGAGGATATCTGAATGAAGGTAAATAAGCATAAATTTAGTAACAGTAGCTTCAGTAGCTCGTTTCTTCCTCAACAAATAAGGCAACCAGCATGAGGAGACTTGCTTTCTATACCTTATATATATATTTTTAACTTTGAAAAGCTCAAAGTCCTTTTCGGAATACTGTAGCCCATTGTTTGGAACCACTGTACCTCTATAATCCACATACATTAACATACTAAAGTTAGAAAGAATGGACTTAGGATTGGACAAATACAAGTTCAAGGCCAGTCTCTAACACTGGCAGGGAACACGATCTTCTTCCAGTATCGCGCTTAGACCTAGGAAACCAGGCCTTATCCTGGTGCACTGACCTTCCCAGCTTTAGAGGACCCTGTGCTCCCCTTCTCTGACTTCATCTTTCTTATGAGGCTGGGAATCTGCAAGTCCAAGGTGACATGGCCCGCCCTCCCAGGCCTGTGCCTCCCCATGTTCTGGGGATCCTGGAACCCAGAATTTTAGATCCAAACAGCAGGGCCTGCTTTCAGGGCCAGTACAGGACTGTTTCTCAGGTTTGTCTTCATAGGGTGGACCATGGTGCCATAATGCTGCCACTGAGAGAAGGGATCAGCAAAGGAGGATGGAAATTAGATGGAGCAGGGCTGCCGAGGGCTGTAGCGTTCCCTACTGTGTGTGAGAGGCCCGTGGCACTGGACAGAGCTGGATGTGGGAACTGGCCCTCCATTCATGCAGTGGCCCCCAACTGCAGGAGTTAGAAGCACACCTGTCCATCTAATGAAGTTATCGAGATGTTTAAATAAGCTGATATTTGTAAAGTACTCAACGCAGAGAGTGGTAGATTGTAGGCATTCTGCATGTTTTTTGTTCTGGGATCGCTTCTGTTTCAAATTAAATTTGACTTAGCCTCTTCTAAATTTCCATGAAAAACATGTACCCAGAGGCTCCAAATAAAATGAAACCTCTTTAGCAATACTGAAAAATAAGACTAATAGCCATCCTATTGCCAGAATATGAGAGGAATTTACAAATACCACAAAACTTATAGAGCAAAAAGAAGGAATCAAATTGGTGTTTGGGGTCATTTTACATTGATAAAAAGCACTGCCTATGCTATGGAAAAAGAATCCATAAATCTGCATAAACTGAATCATATATATAGGTATTATAATAATAGGAATCAATCAGTATAAAGTAAAAACTGGAAATGCATAGAACGGTGGACACAAATAAATTGCTGTGGAATATAATAATATTCCACAGCTTTTTTCAGCTTTTGACAAATCAAGTAGGTAATATTATAGACATGGAAATTTTGCATGTAATTAAGTTGAGTTTACAATTGTTGAACTTTGTATAATCAAAGAACACACTTTTTTAATGCTTGTGAAATAGTTTCAAAAATTGATTGCATTGAGAAAAGAGAACCTCATTAAGTTCTTCCCAGGTAGAAGCTGAATAGACCAGATTGTCTAACCTCAATGCCATAAAATAAAAATGAAATACAAAACCTGAAACAAATGATTGGTTGGGTGTGGTGGCTCACGCCTATAATTTCGGCACTTTGGGAGGCCGAGGTAGGTAGATAGCTTGAGCCTAGCAGTTCTGAGAACAGCCTGGGCAACATGGTGAAACCTTGTCTCTACAATAAATACAAAAAATTAGCTGGACGTGGTGGTGTGTGCCTGTAGCCCCAGCTATGGGGAAGGCTGAGGTGGAAGGGTTGCTTGAGTCCAGGAGGAGCCAAGATTGCATCCCTGCACTCCCGCCTGGGCAAGAGAGTGAGACCCTGCTTCGAAAAAAAAACCAACAAATGATTAATTGTAATGGCAACAAATATCTGGCATCTGTGAAATGGATACACCTTTGCTTTTCAGATGCATCTCAACTTCAGAGTTGTAAAATGTGCAAAAAAGTGTGTTTGACAATTCATGAAATGCTTTAACTCTGGGTAAAATGAAAATAAAAAATTTACCAACTATTATAAAAGGAAACAAAACTGCTATCGGGATGATGGTATATGAACAAATCTATATAATGAGGCATACTAATAATCTTAAATTGTTTTTGTATCAACAAGAAAGAAAATAAATGAATTTTAATAAATACTTTATTCAAGAATAGTTTCATTTTGTGGTGGAACCACAATTCCTTTTCCTCAGATACTGTGATTAAATCCGGCCCCAATTCTTTCTCTTTGTGAATTTCTTTTTCT